CATCATCTGATAGATGCTATCTTTCAATAAATTCTTCCTACTCTTTTTTTTTTTGGTACCGGGGATCGAACCAGATCCTTGTGCTTTCGAGGCAGGCGGCAGAACCACTGAGCTAAATCCCCTGCTCAATTCTTCCTACTCTTAACTTCTGTTGTTCCTAGAATTCATTCTTCAATTGTAGAGAACACAAACTCGGGATTTCAGTTATCTAGCACGTTGGGAGTTACAATATTTTCCCTTATGTGTGTTATTTCCCTTATCTGGATTATTTGGAGGTCCACATATCATACCCTTGTATCACTGGGACTCCAAATAGAGAATGGTTTTCATTTTAGATCCAGGCTACTTCTTGTATGGTCTCTTAAGGGCTTAAAAACAGGGAATGGGATGAAGGGGACGCTTAGCTCAGTGGTTCCAACTCCTGCCTGTCAAGCGCAAGGTCCCAAGTTTGATCCCTGGTGCCAAAAAAAAAAAAAAACCAGGGGATGGGAATTACTACTTTTCTTCATTTCATTAGACTTTTAGGCTGTTCCATAGCCCATTTTTCCATGGCCTGGGGCAGGAGCATGTTTTCCCAGTCCCTCACAAAGCTTCCAAGCAGTTGGCATTATCAGTAATCTTAGCAATTCAGTGAGAACAGAGGTTACAGCTGTCACAGGAAGTTGAAACAAAATCACACCCATTCCAAGCGGGGTGAATGTCTACACTGAACAGAATTCTAGCTGGGAAGGTGGGGGGGCTGGGGTGTCAGGTGGGGGAGTATGAGATGCTGTGCAAGAGAAAAAATAGAAGGGGTAGAGCAGCAGATGCATAATTGTAACTCTGCATGATTTATGGACCTGCAGGGGCCTCCTGCTAACAGACACCAAGATCCAAACCCCTTTGTGAATTAGTAGGCAGCAGCTCTGCCCCTGGCCCAGAGCAGGCTCCACCCCTCCCCTGGACTGCACTCCAGCCTACTCAAATCCCTGCGGAGGGTGGGGAGAAGGCCAGCACTGGAGGAGACTGGGCAAGCTGGAGAGTGCAAGCCCATCTAAGCCAGAGAAAGAAGGTATATAGCTTTTCTGGGGTTTTCTTAACAAAGCAGACAAACTGGGTAGCTTAAACAAAGGTACTGTCACACTGTTCTGGGGCTAGAAGTCTGAGACCTGGGTGTTCGCAGGGCTGTTCCTTCTGAAGGCTGTGAGGGAGCATCTGTTCTGTGCTTCTTTTTGGCTTCAGGAAGCCTCAGCAACTTCTTGGCCTGCAGATTGTGTCCCCCCCTTATGTATTTTTTTTTAATGTTTTATTTGGAGACAGAGTCTTGCAAAGTCATTAAATTGCCAAGACTAGGCTAGAACTTGCAATCCTCCCGCCTCAGCTTCCCAGAGAGCTGGGATTACAGGTGTGTGCCACCATGCCTGGCTTTCCCCATGTCTTTACCTCATCTTCCTTCTGTGTGCATCTGGGTCTAGATTCACACTGCCTTTTTTATGGGGACACCAGTTATACTGTATCAATGCCCACCTTGATGACCTCATCTTAACTTGATCATCCACAAAGACTCAGTTTCCATATACAGTCAGGGGTTAGGACTTCAAAATCTTTTTTAGGGCATATAAGTCAATCTGTAATGGGGCTTCTGCTGGGCTTTGACTGATGGCTGTCCTGCAGCAATGGGTGGCTAGTGAAACTGGAATTTAGGATTCCTTGTGACATCTTTTAACTTTTAAAATATTGGCATCTAATTAGGTATCAGTAAACTTTGTCTAATGCTGTAGCTGCAGAGAGCAAGTCAGCCTTTGCTGCACTGACACTACAAGGTTCTCTCTCAGCTCCGACCTGTCCTTCTGTGTCACCTGGTACCTATGGGATCAAAGGCTAAGTCCTAACCGTGGCACCCAAAGCCTTCCATAGTCCAACATTTGTCCATGTCTTGGAGGTCCTTTCCCACTGCCCCTGCCACATACTCACTCAGGTACAACCCCATTAAAAGACTTGCCCTTCTCCCAGCACTGTGCTGCTATATGTTGTATCCCCCTGTGCCTTTGCCCCCTACCCTCCAGCACACTGAAAAACTGGCCATTTTGCAAGTGTCCTCTCATTGCCATCCTCTCTGATCACCTCTTCACTGCACCCTACATTTCTCTAGTGTAGCACTTGGTCTACTTGCTATTGCTTGCTTGCACATCTGCCTCCAGTCTGATGCTTCCTGTCTGGACTGTGGACTCTCAGGGGAAGGGCTGTCAATCTGGAACACATGCATAGAAACTGACACATAGCAGGGACTCAATAAATGTTGCTGGAATGAAAACCCGGCAGAGCACCCAATTAGGTGCCACAAGGGACTCAAAGAAATATCACTCGGAGTCCCTTACAAATCATCTGGGTCCCAAGATGTGGCAGAGATAAAGCACAAGGTAGGAGTCGGGGTGGGGGCGACAACAGGCAGGAGAGGCCCCTGAGGCCTATAGCACTCAATGTGTTCTCACCTGAGACAGAAAACATCGTGTTTGGTTGCCTGATGTGGCACTGCTTTTGTGAGAAGTATGGTCAGATAGCCTGGTAAATCCTGCCTGGAATAAGGAATCACAGTAGTGCCTGCTCACAGAGAGGTCAAGCAGCGTTCATTACAGGAAGAGAAAATGGGGCAAGGAGAAGAGAGCAGAACACAAAAATGGAGGAAGAAGAGAAAGAGAAATGTGGAAAGGAGAGCCAGGGAACCTGTACTTGGTCATCGTGCATGAGTGTTTCCCATGTTACCAGATTCTTCCCATCAGCATCACATGCACTGCAATTCATTCCACCTATAGCCCCTTCGTGGCTCCCTCCTCTCCTTCCAGAGCCTCATTTCTCTGCTGTCCATGTCTTTGCTGCTGTCTCCAACTCTTCTCCATCACCTCCTTTCAAACCCTGCTTGCACTGCTCTGCAGATGCTGCTCAAGATCACTCATGACATCTACATTGGTGAATCCAGTGCCAGTTCCAAGTTCTCATCATCCTTGCCACAGCTGACTTTGAACCACTGGATTCACCTGGCTTCCAGGATGTTATACTCCTCTGGCTTTCCTCCTATCTTACTCGTCCTTCCCTGTTAGTCCCCTTTCTAGCTCCTCTTTAATTCCTTCACCTCTAAGTGTCAAAGAACTCAGTACTTGGACTTGTTCTCTAGACCCGATCCCTCCCTTGGGAATTTCAGGTAGTCCTATGGTTTTAAATGCTGTGTATGTTGCTGACTTTTATATTTTTATATATGCAGCCAAGGCTTACGCCCTGAACTACAAACTTATTTATCAACTACCGCTCTGCATCTTTACTTGCTTCCAAACTAAATGAGTCCAAAGCTGAACCTCTGATCTCCCCCTTCAAGCTGTTGTTCCTATTGCCCTGTATATTTCATCATTCTTAGCTCAAGGAGTCAACTTTATTTTCAGTGTCCTCCTCTACTTTTACCTCCTGACTTGAATTATAAGATTCATGAGAACAGAGGCTGTGTTCACCTTCTTCATTACTATAGAACAGTGCCTGACACATAGTAGGCTCTCAATACATATTTGTTGCATGAGCAAAATGAGTATCTGAGGTCAAATCTTGATTTTGCCTCTTACCTTGAACCTCAGGGTTTCTAGGTTGAGCACCAGAGAACTCAGTCAGCCCAGAGAAGAATGTGCTGCTTTTGATCCTGATTATCCATTCATTCAACTGTTGATCACTGAGGCACTAGAGGTGTCAGGCCCTGAAGGCCCCTGTTTACCATGTGTTATTGGCTCAGATCTCTGGCATAGAGTGCTGAGGGGGCCACAGAGGAGCAGTCCTAACTCAGCCTTGGAAGCCTGCTAAGGGAAGGGATAGCTGAGCTGGTGAGACCCCAAGGAAACTGCAGGAAGAAGAAGGGGAAGAGGGTGTCAGAGAGAGGGGAAACAGTGCATCCAAATGCCTGAAAGAGAAGGAACACTTTATATAGTAGGCAAACTGCAGGGAGTTTGCCCTGGCTAGAGCCCATGGATTTTAGGTGGAAGGGGTTGAGATTAAACTTGACGCTGGGGAAGAACTTGACACTGGGGAGGGAGCTGAAGCAGGTGCCCCAAGCCCCTTGTAAGCCCTTTGGAGTAGGGGGGGTACTAGGTCCTTAAGGACTACTGCCTACAATAAATACATGGATGGTCAGAGGGTCTTTGAGCTGAGGGACTTGATGGGTCACAGAGTCACTCTTGCCTCCCTTCCCTGTATGTTTAAAAACTAGAACAAGACAGCTGGGGAAATAGTTCAGTGGTAGAACACATGCTTAGCACACATAGGCCCTAGTTGGATCCCCAGTATTCATTCACAAAAAAACCCCAAAACTGTATTTGTTTTCAGCATTTCTTTATTTCAGCCCTAAAGATTGAACCCACAGGGCCGAGGATTTAGCTCAGTGGTGCCGCCGCCTGCCTTGCAAGCACAAGGTCCTGAGTTCGATCCCTGGTACCAAAAAAAAATTAGAAAAAAAAGCTGGAGTTTCTTATGTCCTTTATTTGCTATCACAACTCCTTGCTCCTCTCCCCAGACACAGCCACTCTTATGAGTTAGTAGTGTGTCTCTCCCATTCTTTTTTTTCAAAGATAGTTTCACAAACGATTGAACATAACAATAGAAAATCCACAATTCTGTTTGATGTGCTGCAAAAATTGTACTGTGCTGTATGCATTATTCCATAACTGTCTGCCTTTACTTAATGTATTTTGAGCTCCAGGTCCCTGCCTATAGACCCAGTTTATTCCTTCCAACTGTGACATGGTGGTGACCCATTCTGTACGTAGATCCTATTTTACTTGCACATTCCCCATTGTCCACCTTTGGGCTGTTCTCGGTGGTTATTCAATGCAGTTGAAAAGGACAGCCTCCCTGGATACTTGTGCTGTAAGCATTTTTCTAGGGTAGAGAATGAGAAATAAAATTGTCAGGCATGCGTTATGGATATTTTCCGTTTTACTGGATAAGGATAAATTGAGGTAATCCATTTCCCCAAAACCCATACTTGCCACGGTCTGATTTTAATCCTTCCTTGCATTTTTGTAGATGAAAAGACTGACGTCTGGCGCTGGGTCTTGGAGCAGGTTAGGGTCAGAGAACAGAGTAACCCCCAGGTCAACTGCTCCTGGTGACATCATCTGGCACCCCCAGGCCCCCGCCATACTATCCCCGTCAGTTCTCTCTGGAAAATTAAGGTTAAGACAACGGAGTATGCAAGGGGTGGGCGGGAAGGGAATGGCAAAAATTCTCCAACATGGTGATTTACCAAGAGTAGAAATGACTGCAAATCCGCCCAGAAAATGGCTTCGCAGATCTGCTGTCCCCTACCTGCGGCGCGCCCCGCCGCACACAGGCACTGCGACTGGCTCGTCCCCGGCCACCGCAAGGGTGGGAAGGGCAATGGCGTCTCCAGTTGCTGACTTTTCAGAGCCGCAGCTCTGTGCTGGAGGGTGGGGTGCCGGGGAGCTCGCAGTTTTTATGGAGGCGTCCGGATTGCAGGCGGAGGTCCAGTACCCGGTCAGCGCGAGCGCCGCCGCACTACCCTGTCGCACGCACAGTCCCCGGAGCCGGTTGGGCTCCGGTCCGAGGTGGCTCCGGTGCCGCGCCCACCTGCGTGGCCGTGGGCTTTGGGGAAAACTGAATCGAGTAAAAATGAGCAAGGAAAGAAGCCTTCGCACTCCCCACCTCGAATCAGCTCAAGGGTCTGTCCCTCCACGCTTGGTGAAGACAAAATTCTGCGGGGACCCGGCTCGTCCTAGGCTGTGGTGTTTTTCCCCCCCAGGAGCTGAGGGTCAGCTTTCGTTTTTTTGTCTTTAGGGCAGGAAGGACAAGCATGAGAATTTAAAGGAAAAAACAAAACCACCGGCCTTGCCCAGCTTCTTTTCCTGAGCCTGGGGGCTCCTTTCTTCCCGTCCTGGGGTGACCTAGAGGGCCTGGTATTTTTTTCTTTTTCTTTTTTTACCCTTACCTACCAGTTTTTGAGCCTGTGCTATGTATCAAGCACTTTACCAAGTGTCTTCTTATTTCTCCTCTTCCTCACCACTGCTCTAAGACAATACAGGCTCTCCGAGGAAAAGTCCCGTGCCGAGGTCAGACATATATGACGGTAAAAGTGGGATTAGGAAATTTCTCCCAGATCCTGGGTTTAAAGGAAAAAAAAGGAGGGTTTGTTTTTTTTAAAAGCTAGCCATTTGCTTTTTAATAATCTAAACAGATCCTTTTGGGAAAAAAATGAGTATTGAGAACAAACACTGCAAATGCACCATCCTGTTTTTAACTTGTCATTTGAGCAAATCAGTAGGAAGAGGGAAGTGGTAAGTGTAAACAGACACTCTTCTAGAAAGCGTGAGCCATTTGTATCAAGGCCTTTAAACACTGTCCATGCCCTCTAATGAGGAAATGGTCACCAGATTCTATCAACATGTAGTGGCCATTGCCTGGGACTCAGCAATTCCACCTACAGAAATCTATTCTACAGATGGGCACAGTGGCACCAGTACATAATCAAACGGAAGTGCAGACATTCATTACTGAATTGTTGCAATAATGAAAAACGGAAAACAACCTTGCATGTATCCATAAAATTGACTTAATTATGACATACTCATCAGCAAAAATTCTATGCTTCATTTTTATTTTTTTTTATTTTTTATTTTTTGGCACCAGGGATTGAACTCAGGACCTTGCGCTTGCAAGGCAGGCAGCAGAACCACTGAGCTAAATCTCAGGCCCTATGCTTCATTTTTAGAAAATGAGGCAGTCTTTTATTACTTTTTTTTTTTTGGTACCGGGGATCGAACTCTGGTCCTTGCACTTGCAAGGCAGGCGACAGAACCACTGAGCTAAATCCCCAGCCCCAAGGCAGTCTTTTATTTATTTCAGTTCTTGTGGTACTGGAAATGGAGCCCAGGGCCTATATCCCCAGCCCTTCTTTATTTTATTTTTTATTTTGAGATAAGGTCTTGCTAAGTTGCCCAGGCTGAGCTCAAATTTGCAATCCTCCTGCCTTAGCCTTCTTAGTAGCTGAGATTTCAGGCATGTAGCACTGCACCAAGCTCCCCCTTTTATATACAGAACAATCATCAAGAAATATTGAGTGAAAGGAGCAAAATGAAAATGTATCTGATGTGCTACTTTCTATATGAAAAGTGGATTATATATAATTAATATATTTATTTAATTTTATTTTATATATAAAATTTTGCCCCCAAAGAAAGTCACACAAGAAGATAATAGATAATCATATTGCCACTACTAAAGGAACAAGTAGGAGAAAGGCATTCCTTTCACTGTGTAACCTTTAGTACCTTTGAATTTCATACCATAGGTACATAGTAGAAATTCAAAATTAAACTTAATAAAATTAGATTCACTGGGTCGGGGATTTAGCTCAGTGGTTCCGCCGCCTGCCTCGAAAGCACAAGGTCCCAAGTTCGATCCCCGGCACACACGAAAAAATACTTGGAAGAAAACATGCCAAAAATTATATAAATAGTCGTGGCTACTGAATAGAATGACTGTGAGTGATCCCCTCCCAGTAGCTTCCTCTACTTTTCAGTGTCCTTACAATGGCCTTTTATACTTTGGATAATTAAAAAAGCAAAACAAAATACTCAAAAATAAATATCCATGGCATTTAGAAAAACTACAGATAAACAAACATGTTAACCCGGCAACTCTACTCTAGAAATAAACCATGTGTAAATAGATGTACAAATGCTCAAAGCATTATTATTAATAACAGGATTATAAATAGCTTTTTTTTATTAGAGGAGATCATGTAAATAAGTTACAGAATGTCTGTAATGTAGAAATGGAGCAGCAGTTATACAGAATGGGGTGGGTTTACTACTATGGGGAAAAAAATCTAGGAATTATCATGATGGGAAAAGCAATTTGCAAAGCAAAATGCATGTTATAATTGCATTGATATACTAAGGAAAGAAAAACAAACTATATATGTATTCAAGGACATTAAATTGTTAACAACAGCTATCTGGTTAAATAAGTAGACAACAAAGGTGAATTGTTTTTGACTTTAAGTTTATCTATAGTATTTGCATTTTTTATAACAATGGGTTCTCATATGATTTGTGTAATTTAAAAGTAACAGTAATACAAGGGGGAAAGTGAAAACAAAGACCTTAAAGGATGCACGAAAAAATTATTAGTGGTTTCACTAGCAAAAAGGGATTGGAGTATAAGGTAGTGGATCATTTTTCTCAATTTCCTTTACATTCCTTAGCATTGTGCCCCTCTTTTTTTCTTTAATAATGCCTACATGTGATCTGGCCTCCTAATTAAACCAGGAACACCAAAGTCCTGGCTGGCCAGAAGCAGCCTCTGCTTTTCTCCGTCCTCTCTTTTTGCTCCACACTAGGTCTCTGTTCTGTTATATAAGGTCTCTCACATGCACAGCACAGGAACTCAAAGCCCCAGATAATACAGCCTCATGTCTCCTTTTACTGAAGAGGATGAAACTGAGACACTGAGATGCCACCACCTCCTGGCAGCTCTGCTGGGAAAGTGGACTAAGGTGACCTGGATCCCAGGCCCCTCCTCTCCCACCTTAAATTTCTAGAGATAACCTAGAGGGGAGAGGACAGCCAAGGACTGTTTCCACCAGGCCAGGGAAGTCTGGGTTGAAGGGCAGCCAGCCCGGCAGCAAGATGGAGAGGCCACAAATTAATATCACCATAGAATCAAATGAGGGGAAAATAAACCCCATCATTTGCCGAGTTCCCTCTGGGCTCAGCTTCAAGCTCCCTTCTTAGATAATGGCTGGTCACACAGATCGACACAGCCATTGCCAGACTTTCCAGAGAGAAGGTGAAAGAGCTCTGGGCCAAATTGGCCTCCAGGGGCCAACATGCTGAGATTCATCACTAATGACTTATCCTGCCAAGAAGGTGGCTTTGGAAAGCCTCCCAGGGCCCAGGAGCTCAGCACTGGAAGATCTGTTTGCTCCAAAAACAGAGCAAGAGTGGTGGTGTAGAGGGGAGGGCACTGGTCTGGAAGCAGGAAAACAGGCTTCGGTATCCAGTGTAGCCATTGTCTCTCGCTTTGTATCCTATGAACCCAGGAGTTGGGGGACAGGCAGGGGCTTCTACATCTTGAGAAGGAAGGGCGGTGTCTGGCCCCCTCCCCCACCACGGTTGTTTCAGAATCCTAGATGTTGAAGCTGCAGTTTCCTTTTCCCCAACAGCTGCTGCCTGTCTGTCTCCATGGCAACCAGGCCAAAAGACTAATTTGCAGGGTCTCTGCTCTGGAGCTTACCTTGGAGCTGAGTTTTCAACTGTCTTTCTGGAAGCCAGGCCATCATCACTCCCTGAGCCTCTGACAATGTCCTCCAGCTACTGTGTGGGAACAGCAGGTGTGGGGCCAGCCAGAAAAAGCACTCCATACATCCTTTATAAACCTAATCCACTTGGGAAGAAGGAAGAGAAACAGCTTTACAGCCAGTAGTCTTTTAATTTGTGTTTCAAAGGCCCATGCACGTCTCCCTAGCTGCTCTGGGCTGCTAATCAGGGATCTGCAAGGGCAGATGGCTTAGGGAACAGGTAGGTTACAAGCAAGGAGTTGCCAGCCTTACCCTCTTCCATTCGCTCAGGCTGTTCCCTGCTCTCTGCTGGCCTCCTGGGTCCAGGGGTCCTGCTGTGGCTTGTCTGGTTCTAACAGGATTGAAACATAAACAATATTTCTCAGATGATCACAGAGGGTCAGGGTAAGGCTCAGAGCCTTACATATTTCTCCTTTGGACACAGTATAATATGGCTAATTATACTTGTTTCTCCTAAAGCCGTTTGTCAGACAGCTACCTGTATCTTTTTCTATTTATATTCCAATACCTCTGCTGTAACAGTGGCCTGTCCATTCTTAGGGTTTAGTCAACTGCCTTGTACATGGTGGTGGTCAATAGTATAGACCCCCTTTATGAACTGACCATAAAACCAGAGTGGAGTCAGGAAGCCTGGTTCTAGATCTAGGCCTATAACTAACTTGGTGTACAATTTTGAGCAAGTTTCTTGCCTTTTCTGGGTCTTATTCTTCGCCTCTGTAAATTGAGTGAATCGGATTGTAATCCCTCGGCTCTAACGTGCTGTGGATTTCCCAAGGGAAACGTCCACAAAGCTCCCCACACAGAAACCAGGGCAACAGCAGGTGGTCTCACTCCATAGAGTTGTAGTCGGTTTTGAGTAAAACCAATTCTGCTTGGACCTGGGGCTGGATGGCCTGCCTCATGCTGGAACGGATGGAAGCCAGCTCCTGCCCTGGTGGCTTGGTTGAACCTCTGCCTGACCAATCTAGAGCAAACCAATGCAACTGGACCCTCTTGCTCTCAGGAAACACTACCAACCAGCACTACCTGCTCCCCAAGGAGCAGGGGGCCTGGAACTCTGTAACCCGGAACAGCACTGTGCTGATCTGGAAGCTTAGGGTCTGGAGCTAGTAGCTGGGGCAGTGTCCTAGAAACCCATCTTCCTCTGGGCCTCACAACAAAACCTCATCACTGAATCTCATTTACATGTGTTTCTTTCTTGCATCTCATCAAAGCATAACTACATGGTTAGAGTACACACCTCAACATGTGCTAAGAGAAGTGCAGAGGTGACCACTAGGCTCTATCCCGACAGTGAAGCAGCCACAAACTTTCCTTCAGGCAGCCTGCACTCCAGCTGCACTGAAGACTCGCACACTCTCCCAGCCTTCATATGTGCTGTTCTCTCTACCCTTCTCCAGGCCTCCCCGTCACCCCCTACTCTTCCTCCTTCTCGTGGCCTTCTCTGGCTCCAATTGTTGTTTCCTTTCTACTCTCCACATTCCACACGGCTTCTGGACATCCCAGTGAAGTTCTCCCAGTTGTGGATTTCTCTTTAAAGTCCTCACATCTATGTGTCATAAATAAATCTTTTTTAGATCTGCCCTTCCTCTCTTTGAATTTCTAAGTTTAAGTTTGTCCTTGGGACTCCAGAAACAGAGTCTGGCACAGGAGAAGTATTCTATCTATATTTTTCCAGTATCACAAAAATTAATAAGTGAGAGAAGGAAACAAAGCTACCATCTGTGATTTTTTTTTTTATAAAGAGGTTTAGAATTATTAGCCAGGTATGGAAGTGCATGCTTGCAATGCTAGCACTCAGAAGGCTGAAGCAGGAAGATTGCAAGTTTGAGGCCAATGTAGCAATTCCCTATCTCAAAGTACAGCCCCCACCACACACAAAAGAATCATGCCTTGCATTTGTGTTGTACTTTCAATGTTCTTGAAATGTTTCTGATTTCACTTGCTTCTTCTTTTTTTTTTTTTTTTTTTGGTACCAGGGATCGAACTCGGGTCCTTGTCTATCTGTCCATCTATCTATCTTTCTG